AATTTTAAAGTAAATAAAATGTCTGATAGGTATTAATTATTTTGAGATTAATTATTTTCGAGTATTAATTGTTTCTTTTTTAATTTAAAACTGTATAATTATTGAATGGGTAAAAACGAAATTTAATGTCAATTAAATGCTAATTACTACATTACATTTTATAAGATGTTAGATAGTTAATTCTATATGAAAATACTAATATAGAATGTAATTTCCCAAAAAAGAAATCAGTTTTCAATCTTTGATTTAAGCCTTTGTTATTTCAACTTAATGACGATTCAAATTTTGTTTATTTTCTTCGACACTCGCTCTCATTCTGCCAACCAACGAATAAATACTCCAAGGTTTAAATAAGATACATTAAAATATAAACGTAATTTTATCGCCGGCTAGTTTGGTTTATATGCATGTACAATATCAAGCCGATATGCGACAATGATATAAAATTAATAAGAATATTTTTTTAAGAACAAAATTATCGATTGGTTGATCAATCGACTAAAATATGTGATTTTAGTATTTTAATATGATTTTTTTTAGTAGAACTATTTGTCTTGGTGTTAAGTTAAAAAAGGTGAACTTTGATTTTTTTAAATCCTCCAAACAAACGCATACTTAGTCTAACATTAATCATTTTGTTAATTAAATTATATGGTGGAACTAACTAAGCCAATAAAATCTCTCAAATTTCCATCTTAATCTTATTATAGTATACTTTTGATTCGGTTAATCTTATAATCACTTAATATATACATGCATTAGTTTTAGCCAACAAAATCTCTCGAATTGCAAACAAAACGTACTTGTGCATGTGTTATGTAGCAAAGATGCGTAAGAACCATGAGTGGTTATGAACTTAATTTGGATTTACGGTAATATAACTTAAATCGAATATTAAGCTCATACTATACTATTTTGCTCGAGACATGCCTGTACCATGGCTCCTGAAATAGTAGGAACAACCAAACATGTAGCCAAAACTATTGAGTAAACGACAAATTCGCGCTTTCGTTTTATATTAAAAACGCACGATATTTTAAATTGCAACTTTGCATTAAAAATCATAGTACATTTATAAAAGAAACCAATTTGATAAAGGAGATAAATGTACGATATATCGTACCACTCCACCCTGACTACGACTTATGATGGAAGTCAATGCTTATCATCAACTTGCTTATCAATATCTTATTATCACTATCAGTTTTCTATTTTCAATCTTTATATTATTTCGAAAGAAATCCGTTTGGTGGAAATTTTATAATCCGAATAAAACATTAAGATCTATCAAATTTGCGCAGAGGAATATGCTTTGAATTCGAATGTTAGTATATAACAACGATATTTTATATTTTGGTATCTCTAATCTCTCTCTATTAGTCTCAATTTTCACCCAAAAATTATAGACTTGGGCTAAATTACAATTGGGCCTTAATTTTTGCGAGCCCACTTCGAAACAACAACAAACGATGTCGTTTTAGATCAGTGGTTTAGAGACTACACATAGCCGTTAAAACGATCAAAAACCCAATCCGGATTTATCTCCAAACATAAGAACATAAAACTCTGATGCTTGTGTTCGCGCATTCTCATCATCCATGGAGTTCGATTTCACCAACCATTCAACTTCTCGGAAGCTGCAAAACTTCGGAAGACGTGAACAAAATCCACGCGCGATTGATTACGACTGGATTCATCAAAAGCCCTGATCTCACTACGAGGATCGTTCTCGCTTTTGCCGCTTCTCGACGCTCTTATCTCGCCGAATTCGCTCGTTGTGTCTTCCACGAGTATCATGTATCTTCTTTCGTGTCTGGAGATGTTGAAGATCCGTTTTTGTGGAACGCTGTGATTAAATCTCATTCTCATGGAGTGGAACCGAGAAAAGCTCTGCTTTTGTTCTGTTTGATGCTCGAGAATGGTGTTTCCGTGGACAAATTCTCCTTGTCTCTTGTTTTAAAAGCGTGTTCGAGATTAGGTTTTGTAAAGGAAGGAATGCAGATACATGGGTTTTTGAGAAAGACTGGAATTTGGTCGGATTTGTTTCTGCAGAATTGTTTGATTGGGTTGTATTTGAAATGTGGTTGTTTAGGTTTTGCCCGCCAGGTATTTGATAGAATGTCGCAAAGAGACTCTGTTTCTTATAATTCAATGATTGATGGGTATGTCAAATGTGGATTGGTTGAATCTGCGCGTGAATTGTTTGATTTGATGCCAAGTGAGAAGAAGAATTTGATATCTTGGAACTCTATGATAAGTGGGTATGCTCAGAGAGCAGATGGAGTTGATATAGCGTCAAATCTGTTTGATGAAATGCCCGAGAAGGACTTGATTTCGTGGAACTCGTTGATCGATGGATATGTTAAACACGGAAGAATCGAGGATGCGAAAGATTTATTTGATAAGATGCCGAGAAGGGATGTAGTTACTTGGGCTACTATGGTTGATGGATCTGCAAAGTTAGGTTTTGTTCATCAGGCTAAGAGTTTGTTTGACCAAATGCCTCAGAGAGATGTTGTGGCGTATAACTCCATGATGGCTGGTTATGTTCAAAACAGGTATCACATGGAAGCTATCGATATATTTAACGACATGGAAAAGGAGAGTCATTTGTCACCTGATGAAACAACTTTGGTGATAGTTCTTTCTGCAATTGCTCAACTTGGTAGATTATCCAAAGCCATGGATATGCATTTGTACATTGTGGAGAAGAAGTTTCTTTTAGGTGGGAAACTCGGTGTTGCTCTCATTGATATGTATTCGAAATGCGGAAGCATACAACAAGCCATGGGAGTTTTCGAGGGAATTGAAAACAAAAGCATAGATCACTGGAATGCTATGATTGGTGGGCTAGCTATTCATGGTCTTGGAGAATCCGCATTCGCTATGCTCTTACAGATCGAGAGACGCTCCATCAAACCCGACGATATCACCTTTGTTGGAGTCCTAAATGCTTGCAGTCACTCTGGGTTGGTGAAGGAAGGCCTTCTCTGCTTCGAGCTCATGAAAAGAAAACATAAGATAGAACCAAGATTGCAACACTATGGATGTATGGTCGACATACTATCAAGGTCAGGAAGTATAGAGCTAGCCAAAAACTTAATAGAGGAAATGCCGATTGAACCTAACGACGTCATATGGAGAACGTTTCTCACCGCTTGTAGTCACCACAAGGAGTTTGAAACAGGAGAGCTTGTCGCGAAACACCTTATTTTGCAGGCTGGCTATAACCCGAGCTCATACGTGCTTCTCTCTAACATGTATGCTAGTCTTGGAATGTGGAAGGAAGTTCGTAGAGTTAGAACGATGATGAAGGAAAGAAAAATACAGAAAATCCCTGGATGTAGTTGGATCGAGCTCGATGGGAGCGTCCATGAGTTCTTTGTAGATAGCATGGAACTTTCCAATACATTATAGATAAATGATTGTGCAGCCATATATTTCAAATGCTATATATCAAATAGAGAACGAAAACAGAGTCATACATGAAGACAATGTCACAACAGATTCACATAGTGGTTGGTCTTGTGCAGCTAAAATATGACTGAAAAATAAGCTTACCACAAGATTATCTAAAATGTCTGAAAACTGCTTGTTTTTACAGCCTAAGTACATCAGTTACAGCTACAAGGACAGAAGATTGTTACATCATGAACCGATTCTTCGGTTTCCCTATACTGAACCTAAACCGAGTTAACATCAGGGGAATGGTGATATTCTTGGACAATCAAAAGCAAGAATTTTGTTAAAACCGGAAACTAATAACTCGCTGCGAGTTTATTCAGTTCTTGCATAACAATTTCCATGGATGGTCTCTGGTTTGAGGATTCATGAGTGCAGAGAAGACCAAGTCTAGCAAGCTGAGCAGCTTCTGCTTCCGGGAAGTTCTTTCGAAGATTTTGATCGATGAAATCTTCACTCAATCTTCCTGACTCAACAGCTTGTAAGATCATCAAATGGCTGATTTTGCTTTTACCACTGAGTATCTGAAGCAGAATCATACCAAAGGCGTAGACGTCGCTCTTATCAGTGAACCTTCCTGTAGTTATGTACTCAGGAGCTAAGTATCCCATTGCAGCACTTGCTTTAAGCTTCGAGAAAACAATATCATCCGTGAAAAGCTTGTGAAGACCGGAATCCGCAAGAGAAGGATTATACCAATGATCAATGAGAATCTTCTCCGCGGAAAGATTCTGGTGAACTATTGCAGGCTTGTTCCCATTTTCTCCATGTAAGTAAACAATCCCTGAAAGAAAGAAACATCAGATTTCACATACGAAAACCGAATTTAGTTTACGAAAAGAATGAATCGCAGAATCCAAACCTCTAGCGATTCCATTAATGATGGAAACTCGAGTTGTCCATTCAAGAACCTCGCCGGTCTCATCCTTGACATCAAGATACTGCAAAAGATTACCATTGGGGACAAACTCATATAGAAGGAAACATTCACCGCGACCTTTTGAGCAGCAAAATCCTCTCAACCTCACTAAATTCTCATGCTTCAACAATGTAAGCATCTTCAAACCTTTAAGAAACTCGGATTCATCGGATTTACAGCTCGATTTCGCTATACATTTTACGGCCGCAGCAGAACCATCTCTAAGTATACCTTTATAAACCGAAGAGACATTACTCTTCCCTAACAGATTAACCTCAGAGAAACTCTGTGTAGCTCTCTCAATCTCTTCAAGATTGAACATAAAGCTCTCAAACACTTCTTGAGACAATGCACTTTGGTTGTTACTGTTCTGTCCTCTACCTAAAGGATCCCAACCACTTGCATACTCCAAGCTTATCAATGGTGAAGAGCTTTTTCTTCTAGAAGGTTCTTTGAAGTTATACTCAGTACTGATTCTACCATCCATAGCATCAAGACTAGTTCCAATCCTCTGTTTTCTTCTTCTGTACCATGTAAATGTTGACCCACCAAAGATTGCAATTGCTAAGATTGAACCGATTAGACCAATGACGATTCCGAAAGATGTGGACTTTGAGGTTTTTGATGAACATTTTCCTCCTCCACCTCCATTGTTGTTGTTACTGCAATTGTTTCGTTGTAAATCTGCAGATTCTGGTTTCACATCATCATCAGTTGTTGTTGTGAAGCTCTTTGGGTTTGTTGGGTCTGGTCGGTTAAGGTTTGGTTCGTTAGAACCGGTACAAGGTTTTAAATCTGTGAAACCATCTCCGCATAAACCGTGATTGTTTGAATACTGGAATCCATTGTTTAGCCTCTTCAATGCTTCAAATTCCCAAAAACAAAAACAAGAATCAGAAACAACTCAACCAAAATCTGGTTTTTCTGTTTGGTTTTTTCGGTTTGGTTTAGAAATCAAAATACGAATTTGATACGGTTAATAAGCTAATTGTATTCTATAATTTGAAAATTTCTCTAGTAAAAATGAGGTTTTTAATCAGTCAATTAATTTCTTTTTTTCGATTCGGTTCGGTTTTGGTTACAGTCAAAATAGAACCAAGTTTGTTTCCGGTTCGATTAAACCGCATTGGTCACTCATAATCTTTCAATAATCTGAAGAATTTATTATGAACTAAAACATGAATTATTATTACCGGAGGGAATGAAGCCGGAGAAAGAGTTATTGCGGATGTCGAGGACTTCAAGCAACGGAGCGCCGGCGAGTTTAACCGGAACAGGACCAAAGAGATGGTTAAAGCTCAAATCAAGCCTGGTTAAGGTATTAATATCACCTAAACTCGCCGGTATAGCGCCGGAGAGTTGGTTATATTGCAAAGCCAAGACGGTTATCTTCTTTAGAGAACCTAACCGTGTCGGTATACTCCCACTTAACTTGTTGTAACATAACTGAAGAACT